TATAATATATATATATTCTATATTATATATTCCTATAATATTTATATATTCTATAATATATAATATTCTATATACTATTTTTTTTTAGATTTTAAAATCAGAAGTTATATTAACTGTCTGATAATTTCACACAACGCAATTTTCATGCTCATTTATTTTGCAGTGTATTTAAATATTTATATTGAGTTATCAGTTGTAAAGATAACAATAAATGTGTATGTGTGAGTAAGGTCAGGTTTATTATTTTCATTCTGTAATTTCGAAGTCAAACCAAAATTACGTTTGTTCATGTATAACGTTCGGTCAAAATATCGTATAAAGTATTTTAAGTCTAGAGATTATGCGTAAAAGGTTATGTGTGCCTAGAGATTATGTAACTTAAAAGGCTGAAACTTACTAATAAAAATTCATGAAAAATTGTAAGAAAAATTTATATTCATCGAAATTACCATGAATTTATTAAATAAAATAGATTAAATACTAAATCATGAAACGTTGTGATTCGAGTAAATAACGAAGATGTTTTCTGTTCTTAAAGCTGTATAAACATTTCAAGAATGTGCTTACTGTTGCCATGCTTACTTAAAGATCGAAAAGAGACCAATGTAAAGAGTGCACCACTAAAACTGAATTTCAAGAAATTCATACGAGTTCATGAATTTTACTGAATTTTTTCATTAAATTAGCTTAATTCAAAAGCTGCAACTCCTGCAAAAAGGGCATACTCAAAATGCAAGAGTGTTACAGGCTGCAACATAAGTGTTTAACCAGATGCTATTAAAATTAGTTTTGCCTTGGTATTTAATTACAGTTTGGATGACTATGAAGTTATTTTTTGATTTTAATAATGCTGGTATAAGGGCACTCTCCTCATCGAATTCCTCACTAAGATATGATTTCAAATAATGTTACAGTCTTCTGCATCTCTCCTGCTAATTAGCAGATTTTTTTTACCCAAAAATTTCAATTTGAAGCATATTTGCAATTTTGTTATTAAACCATTCGAATACTGATTCGTAATAGATATATCGTTGAAATAGTCTTGACTTTATAAAGTATCCTCCTTTCCGCTCCGAATTCCTTCGTGATGCAACTCGAAGCAAATTCGACTAGTATTCGGAAGGTTCGGAGTTCGAATCCCAGTGTGGGCATTCTAGGTTTCTTCACGTTCCTGATGCTGAAAAATTCTAAAAGACCCTACAGTTTCCTTAATCATAAATAACTCATATTAACGTTATTTTATAACAGATGCATTATTGTAACTGCAATACTATTGCCTTCTATTCGACTCATTTCAACCCTTCTGAGTTTGTAAAACTCCAAGCATTATATGGGCCCACCAGCGGCCGAGCGGTAAAGTCGCTGAGCACTGGTAGTTCGGTCCGTGGTTCGAATCCTGCGAAGGGTCCGACTGCATGGGTGTTTTCGTGGTTTTCTCCATGTGCAACGTGTATACGAGCCAGTTTCCCTTAGAAAGGCCTCCACGAAGGCATCCCTGCCCTTAGGCAGATAGCCCTAGTGTGCTTTGCCATAATAAAATACACAACTACTACACCACCACCAAGCATTATATGAATACGGAATGTAAATATACCATACGTACTCTTTTTTTACTGCTTAATTATACACTCAATATGTTTTTCATATTTTTATTCAAATTTATTTTTTATAGTTAAAATAGCAGAGAAATTTAATTCTATTTTAATTTGAATTTTGTGGGGAATATTTCATTGCTATTAAATTCATAAAATATTTTAGTATTAATGTAGGTTAATTACTTTGGATTATAAGTTATCCATGTGCAGTTCTGATTTTGGTGTAAATATAAATTAATTAAGTGCGTATAACACTAGTTAGTTTCTGACACAATCCTAACAGGATGTGTCTTTTCAGCTGCTCAGTATTTGCGTTTGTTAAATAGATTATAGTAAAGAACATGAGAGGTCTCTACCTAATAAGAAGCAACGCCTTTACAGAATTTGATAAGGGAATTTGTCTCGTATCAAATTGTTCCGCGAAAGAGATAACCACTCGCTCAATACTTATTTCGCTGGACGCTATCATTTGGTGAATTGTTAATCGGCTAATATACACACATATATGTACTATATTTACGCATATAGAAGAATACAAAACTTTTATTTGAGAATTATGATTACATTAACTTCAACTTAACTGTATTTCAATATCTTTTGATAAATTTTTCATTTGTTTATATGTAAATAAAAAGTTGGAACAAGACTACGTAATACAACAATATTAAAGAGCTGTATACTAAAAATTATGTAACTTTTCACATTTGGTTGATTATCTCTAAAAAACATTTGTATGACATAGATTGATATAATACAAAAACATTACATTGTATCGATTCGATTGATATTGGATTGATATAATAAAAAGACATTTGATTGAGACAATAGAGGTAATACAAACATTAGACTAAATAAATAAATAAGTAAAAGTAAAATAAAAAAAAATGTGCCTTATAACAGTTATGGTACACATTCATGAACATGCGTAAGGCTCATCAACGAAGCAAGGTCTAAAACAAAAGTTACAAGATTGAAAAATGAAGAAGATTAATTAATAGAAGGTTACGGTTGCCTTTAACACGTAGAATGAACTCTCACAACTTGATTTCATGCTGGAAATGAGGCAGTCTTAGAGTCCCTGTGACAGTGGTTTTTACTCTTGCAGTTACCCTGTTTTCGGGTGTTGGGACTCTGGGAGGAAAAAGGCGAATTTTAGTTGCCTTCCCAAGAGCATCTTAGATATACCGAGCTTAGGTCTGAAGATCTGGATGGCCAATCCATTTGGTTAATATTCCCACTTTCTTTAAACTCATCCCCCAGGTTATTCCTATGTGAACGAATGTTGTCTTTAATAATAAAAAAAAAAAAAAAAAAAAAAAAAAAAGGAAAAGGGATAACTTCAACACTGAAAAAACGAAAATAGAGCTGTAATATTTGGACCAAGCATCAGTGGGAAACCGTTTGCTTCACATATAATTCCTGATGGAACCTAATCACTGATTCTCGAAGTGCACGAGCGTTGTCGTCAATAAAAATGAACAAGGTCAACCGCAGCCTTGAACAGGCGAACGTAAGGCTCTAAGATCTCATCTGTTTGCAAGAAGACTTGCTATTTGCATCCCGCTCGTTTCTCTGCTTAAGTTAGCCCGTTTAGCATGGTGAAAAGAACATCAACTTTGGAGTAAGCATCAGTGGAAACAGTTCGCTTCACAAATGATTCCTGATTCAACCTAACCACTGATTCTTGAAGTGCATTAGCGTTGTCGTCAATAAAAATGAACAAGACCAACTGCGCCCTTGAAAAGACGAAGATCTCTAAATGAAGGCTTCTAAGATCTCGTCTATTTGCAAGAAGAAGTGTACAGAAGTCAACGAAGGACGGTGAAAAATTTCCATTGGGGACATTATTGAAGATATTAACTTCATAAACGAAATAAAGGTTGCCACAAATTAATGGTAACAGAGAAGAAAAAAACATCAAAGCTGACACTTAGTGATTGCATACCGTTTAATTCTGTTCATAAGGTATGCCGTTTAACATGGTGAAGGGTATATCAGCTTTGGACAAATCATCAGGGGAAAACCTTTCTCATCACAAATGATTCCTGATTCAACCTAATAACTGATTCTTGAAGCACCATCATCTTGAGCGAGCCAGGGATTCCTTACTTACTCTCCAGCAACTCAGAGAGAGGCCACTGCAACGCAAGTTTGGTAGATAACAAACATCACGTGTTTCAGACACGACATCTTCATGTTTCCGACAGAGGTTCTATGACTGTTGAGGTATAGAGAAGAGAACTTAGAACCATATGTTAACATTTTAGGAATGTAGTTGGCTCTCAGTACATTTTTATGGATAGTAATGCTGATCCAAGTAGAGCTAACCTGTTGCAAGATTTTTTAGAAAGTGAGAATATTAATCGAACGCATTGGAGAATCAAGTCTCCAGAACCTAATCCTATAGAACACACGTAGAATGTACTTGGGAGAAAAGCTGTAACTTGTCTTTCTCATCCCAGAACCTTCTAACACCTGAAAACTGTTTTGCTGAGTGGGAGCGACTGCCACGGCACAGTAGGTGGGGCAACTAGGGTGGGGCAAGGGGGACATCCGTCCCCGGGCGCAGCATCCAGGGGGCGGCAAATTGATGATATCCATTTCAGAATGAAATGTTTTCCATTCATGGAACACAGAAAGGGGCGCAAAATCTTTAGCTGTTCCCGGGCGCTGAAAACCTTAGCTACGCCTCTGCCACGGGAACACATAGACTGCCTCATTTGCAGTAGAGGTTAAAGGTAAAATTAAAAGGAATACCAGAGGGTCATAATAAATTACCGGGTATCGTTCCCACTTAAGTTGTGTTATTCCACGCCATAAAATCAGCTCCGCTATCTTCAGCAGACCATCATGCGCATCCCAGGCGAAGAGATTTTAGCATTTTGTGCACGCCCATTTACAATATGAAGTCACATAGTGAGAGCTATATTACTATTAGAAGGAGCGATTCTTTTATTGACCGATTTAAGCATACTTAATTTTAATCGATTTTCCAACCTCTGTTTTGCATCTATGAGTCTTACACTCGAACATGAGTGTGTTCTATGACCTGTTATAGACTTAAAGATTCTAAAGTCTGTCCGTCAGTTTTAGAGAGAATCGGCTAAATTTCTCTTAATTTTGAACATCATTAAAAATGTATCTCAAAATGTAATGTTTTTTTATTGCATTTATGCATTTTATGAAATAAAATACTTTTCACTATATATTATGTTTCTCACTACATGCTGCAGAATAATCCATTGATACGTCAGTGATTTTTCACTACATGCTGTAGAAAAATAGTTGTGTTTTAGATTTTAAACATAAGACATTTAGAATGAAGACCGAAATTTTCAAAATTATTGTTTTAAAATTTAATATTGTCTTTGACACATTGCAAAATGAATAAGCGAAATAAGTTACCTTGGAAATAACTCTTTGTCCGAAGATAGCTAACACTCAGCCTGAGAATTGATAATTTGTCCAGTTTGGAAAGGACACTCTGTTCAAAAGGAAGGAGACTCGCCAAAGTGTCCAGCTCCGCGTTCAGCCTTTCACGATGCCTTTTACTGGGGTTTGACTTGGTTTGTCCATCTTTTGGTGGAACTCGAACACTAGGGAATAAAGCAAGATTAGCAAAATTATTTAAGGTCCTGAATCTAATATAATCACTAATGGCAAAAGAAATTACTTTTCTCTGTAATTTAAGGTACCCTCATTTATCATATCAATTTAAGATATCATTTATTCTATAATTTAAGGTATACTAAAAGCAGAATATCATTATTCAGAAAGACAGAACTTAACCATCATTTCCAGAGATTAATGAAATTCGTTGCTTCTAAAGATACCCAATGAAGTGTTATCATCACTTGGAGAAGAATTTTCAAACTCGGGGTTTGTAATATTTCTAGTAAGAGTATTCAAGTTTTAAAATACTGAACTAAAATATGAAATAAAATCCATATGCTACATGCATTGGAAGATGATGAACGATGAAACAATTTAATTAGACGTTTTATGTATTTTGAAGAATTAGTACCGGCTATAACTTTCAGCTTAAATCAACAACGAAAAATTAAATGTACTTAAATCACATTTTCTGTAAATTCAGATAAGAATAGTTTCGATCTGCGGGGTTTAGAAATCACAATATAAACAAAATTTTGATTTCAGAGATTGTCCTGCAAACGAGTACTCTTTATTCCTTACATCACTTTCGATAATATTTGCTTCGATACTGTTTTATATACAGAAGTCAACGATTGGGCGGTGAAAAGGTTTCATTGTGGACATTACTGAAGATATTAACTTCATAAGCTAAATAAAGGCTGCCCCAAATTAATGGCAACAGAAAAGGAAAAATATATAAAAGCGGACATTTAGTGATTTACTTTAACCTAGTGATAATTAGAATATAATAATATTTTTGACATAGTTTGGTGAATTTCAAACAAAATTCAGAATAAATTCTTTTACATATTGAATAGCACTTGAAACTTTCTTCGTGGGAACCTAAAATTCAGTACTGTAACTTATCATGTAAGGGGGGTATAAATCAATTGCTTAACATTAGGCATATACAAAGTTATGAAATCATAAATTTATGGATGCTATTTGAAAACCAGGACCTAAGCCCTAAGCCAAAATAGACGCAGCTGTTATTTAAACCGGAAAGGTTAACCCTAAGCTAAAAAGGAACTGATGTTACCTCAAAACCAGAAGTTAGAAATATGCTTTTGATTCCATTTTTTTGTTTGCCTTGTTTAAGAACTTGTTTTAATGTCTTTAGTCATTCTACATTAGTGATTAGTAAGGTGGGTTTAAAAGCAGAACGTAACGTTAAATGTGTATTGATTATTTTTCCTCAAGTGGAATAATTATAAGAAATTTTAACAAATCTAAAATAATAAAAATCTAATTGATAATATCTGAATCTTAACAGCTGAAACTCAGTTGAATGCCTGAAAATGTCTGGGGTACTAGAAATAATATGAGTATTAGGAAATCTTGATAAAACTTAAAAGATATTTTATACGGTTTGCTATTCATTTTTACAGGATCCCGTGGATTCGAACCAATCAGCTTGGGTAAAATAATTTACTTCTGAAATGGAAGCGAGCACGTTTTGTTTTTTGAAACCCACTGACTTTAAGGGCAAATCACTTTTATTTGAAATCAGTGGAAAAAAGATAATGAATTTTGCCACGTAACTATTGGCATGAAACTAGTAAAGCAACTACTGCATTAGTCTGCATAGTCTTATAGAAATGCATCTGCTTTGTCTTATAGAAATGCATCTGCTTTGTCTTATAGAAATTCATCTACTTTGTCTTGTAGAAATGCATTTGCTTTGTCTTATAGAAATGCATCTGCTTTTTCTTATAGAAATGCATCTGCTTTATCTTATAGAAATGCTGCTGCATCTAGTCTTAAAAAATATCTTTAATCTAAGAGGCTCTGATTAGGGCAAAATTTATCTTGCTACTACATCTTATTATCTATTTGAAATAAGTAATCTATTAATGCCTCAGTTTACCAAGAGTAAAATATGTACAGACTGGAAGTTAAGAATTTGAATAGTGGTAAAAGGAAAATAACGTTAGAAATCGCTTTCTAGTGCGAAAACATAGATAATAATGAAACTGTAATTACATATTTAAGTGATGCTAATTAATGCATGTGCATATTCTTGGTATTCGTATCTATTTTCAATATTTTTCCTTGTCTGTTTTTATAAAGTGATACGCTATTCATTAATATTCATATTTGATTATTAAAAGTCTCATTTCTCAACAGTTCTGTATGGTAAATGAGTAGCGGGGAGCAATTTCTTTATTTAAAAAGCAAAATTAACTTTCAGGGAAGCTAATAAATTAAAATTTGAAATTATTTGAAATAACTGAAAAATACCAAACTTCGATCCCTTTAAATTAGTATTCAATGGTTACATGTAGTTCGTCAAAGTAGTTAACATTTTTGTAAAATAAATTTGAATTATTGTTTAATGACAGTTGAACAAATATGTTCCATTATCGAAATCAATGAAATCATACGCAATGATTCTAAGGTTATAGCATAGTTAAAATACCCTAAACAATCATTCTCTTTAGCTTTGACAAGGGTAATACTTGAGCTTATTTTAAATATGTATATGGTCCCTACACAGCCTTGGGAAAAAGAAATACGGAGTACCTCAGCTGATATGTGCTACAACTTTATAATGACAACTTTGGACGTTACCATGTGGTAATATTAAAGCTTACTCGAAACCGCAACCTTTTTATCCGTTTATTGCTTTTCTTTTTCTTTTCTTCGCCGCTTGTAAAGTGATGGATTGCCCACTTTTTGTGCTTGGTGCTGTGTAATCGTCTTGATATGGAAGGGTCAGCAATCGCATCACGAAAAAAAAAAAAAAAATTGCAACATTGACGCAGCATTGTTTGACGAGTGGTTCTGAGAAGGTACTTAGGTATCTTTGGATATTCGTTCAAAGAATGAAAGTCGCTAAATAACGCTGTTTTCGAGTAAAACGACTAAACATTCTATTCAGAACCAAATTCGGATTCTTGATCTAATAATATATGAACAGTATTTCAATTTATATCCATAGATTAGAATTTAAATATATAAGTAATAGAATTCCAGGGCTTCTCTTCCTAGAATCCCAACTATTCGGAATAAGTGGATCCACAACCTATCCGGATAATCAAAAAAATCCGTCTTTAAAAGCCGTCTTTAAAGCCTATTGCAGTGCAAGTCATTTTACGTAATGCAAATAATAATTATAGAAAGTGAGAGATAACGTAAATTTCCAAGAATACAAATTCACAAATTCACATACACACGAAAAAAAAAAAAAAAATTGCAGAACGAGAGACTAATAGGAAGAAACTAACTGCAATATCAATGAGATATCATTCACACGTTTGTTAAGTGTACTTATATTTTTAGAAAAGGAGTACTTGTTACTCATAAGCAATAGCTTAAAGAGCAAATAAATAAATAAAAATATGTAAGATATGCAATTATTTCCCATTAATGTTTATAAGTTACATATTTCCGAGTGCCTCAGGCTAATCTAAATGTAGTACATATTCATCTACAAGAAAATTAATTTAATAGCTTGAGCACGATTTGCAACTACATCGCTGGCCATTAATATGCTTACGGCATCAACGAAGTACTCAACAAACCTGAAATTTTCATGAAAATCAGAACAAGCTGAAACATGTAAATGCAATTTTTAATTTGGAAATCACATTTACGCCTTGCTTTTTCAGAATGAAGTTGTGTTATGTCTCGTTGTAAGAGGCAGGAACTCACGACAGCGCGTTTCAGAATTCATGCGTGGGAGAATCGTAGCCTTCCGGGATCGCGAGTAATCTTACTGCGCAGTTGCTTCTTGTATTAGTCGAAATCCAATAAATATTGCGAGAATTTGCAATCGACGGATTTAGAAGGGCCACATAGAGCGACGTGCGGAATCTCAATGGCCCGACTCACCAGTGCCTGAGATAACATCTTTTTGGGAATGTACAGCCACATCACTTACCATGGAGCAGAAAACTGGTCTTGTTGCACAGTACAGAGCACCTCACATACTGTGAGATCAGGTCTCCAGCATTATGGATTGTTAGTAATAGCTTCCTTTAATGCTACAGCCTTGGAATCAACGCTTGCAATGCTGTCTTTAATGATGCACATGGACGCTTCAATGACTTTTTTTGATGAAACTCGCTCTTGCATACAGCATCACGATAGCCATATCCATGTGTGGAATCACCGAGGGAAACAGAAGTTGGAAGATTCGTCGTCGTATCAGCCCAACACCTGTACTGATAGTACGGAATGCAACTGAAATTCGTCCATTCACTTCTTTTTTTTCCGCATATTTGCTACTTTGACCACCCATTGTTACATTACTGAGGTGTTAATGCTTGGGGCTGTGCGATATCTTCGGAGTCTTCGTCGCCCCGCTTTTCAACAGGATAGAGCGAGACGGTATGTTGCCTTTGCTGTTCTGCGTTTCCTTAAACACAAGGTGTTCGATTACCTCAGCTGGCTCTCCATATCTCTCGCCAACTGTCTGGTCAGTAGCTGCAGAGAGACTGGAACGCTAGCATCAACCAGTCAACATTGCAAATGAAGTGTAACATTCGAATCAGTGTGGATTACAATCCGTGCCCAACCATACAGTAGCTGCTATTGCTGCCAGAGCCGGATGTTCGGCTACTGCTTTCTGTATGCGTTGTATCTCAAAATTACATGAAATTTGTTTCATTTCATCCTTTTATTGTGTTCGTAAAATAAATACGATTATGCTAACTGCTTTCCTGCATTCACTAGTAATTCAATGGTCATTCTTAAATAATCTTTTCAAATTATTTAAGGAAAAATTAAAGCCACATAAGTAAGTTAAAAGAGTTAAATTTATCAAATCTAGACGAGTAAACATGTTGGATAACTGGAGTTCTACTTAGAAATCGGGTAGAAATATTACCAAATTTATTTACAGGAGTGTAAACAGTGCATTATAAAGATTGTAAAGTTTTAGGAACTCAAAATATTAGTCTAAAGCATATCAATAGGAGAGGAGCAGAGCAAGAATAGT